GAATCAGCAGAGCACGCCTGCTATCCCCAAGTAACCACAGTCCCAAGAGGAATCCAAGCGTTCGGCAGCTCCTTGGGCTAATCCAGGTCCTAAATGGATGTCCCCCCCAGCAATCCAGCAGTTTTGGCCTCTCCCTCTCCCCGGTGTCCCAGGTTTCCCAACTCCATTGGCTCTTAGGTATTTTGGGATGAGGGGCCAGTAGAGGATTGGTTAGTAAAAGGAGCCATAGCAAGGGGTTTGCACCTGCCCCTGGCCTTATTGCATTAGATTGACAGGGTGGCAGTCCAAAAAAGGCAAAGGACAGTACTGCACCAATGAGACAGGGCTGGAGAAATATTTGGGAGAGGGGGAAGGGACAAGTGAGAAGTCAGAAGGGACAGGGAGCAGGCAACTTAGTACTGGGGGCGATCACAAAGCTGTCGGGTAAAGTTTAGTGTTGCATGGGCACTGTCACAGCTACCTCCTGCATAAAAGGGCTTGAGTCCTCTCCCTGACCACAACAGGGAAGCTTCGGAGTTGCAGCTGCAAATTTTACATTATAAAAGGGGAAAGAAAAAGGGAAGGGCAAGGGGAGCATAGATGCAGAAATAATTATAGCAGAGATCATATTGAAATAAGCTTCAGTTACAAACGCTCTCAGCTTTAAAGAATTCAGATCATCATCCACACTGCAGGGCTCAGGGACTTCCCTGAAATAAATATGTGTCAGTATATTTCCTAAATACTGAGGAGGGTGATTTGTCTGATTCTATCTATCCAGAACCTATTGTATTTTCTCCTTCTTTTTGCATCACCAGTGAAAATTGCCAGGGCAGAAGGTGTAAGAGGAGGTCCAGAATACTTGGTAAAAAAATATCCCATTCTACTGTGTTATCTAGGATGCTCTTTTTCCATCTGGTTGTCACTTTTCACCCCAGTGGTGGTCACAGTTCAGTGTCTGCCTGCACATATTTGCTTAAGGAGGTCTCTAAGCATGAGAGGTATTTTAAGAATGTTAAATGGTAACAGATTACTTTCAAATTTTAAGGGCCAAGTTTGTTTCTGCTCTAAGTGAGCAACATGCCCCTAAGCTCAGTGAGGCTGACCCTATGTCAGAGGTGAAACTAGCCCAGGTTTTAGAAAGTGCTCGCACACATTTCAGATGTTAAGAATGAATATAGTAGTGTCCAGCCCTCCATATATTTAAAATGGAATACTTTATTTCTAGGATTGATCAGGTAGGACTGAATACATAATAGTAAAGATGCTCTTGAAAGTAAGTTTTTTGTCTGTGTAAATCATTACATGAAGCTAAAAATGCAGTATTCCATGTATGGAGCAGGATCCTGAAAAACCTCATTGAGAACTAAAAATAACAGTGTGGATAGTTTGCACTGTTTACTGTCTCACCATCTGTCATTTCTTTCTTCTTTTGAGAGGCAATAGGAGGTGCAGCAAAAAGCCTGTTAAATTTGGTATTTTCAGAGTATTTTCCTGTAAAACAAAAAACCCCACTACCTTAGTGCAAAATCATAAATTATTGCCAGATGTTATTACACATGCTTGTTTCTCAGGAGATTCTGTATGCAAGTATAGCTTAGCAAATTAAATGGAAACGACTGGCCCATTGGAACATATAATTTCCAAATTAATTTATTTGGTTACTAGTGCTCTGAAGAAGTACAAAGGATGCAGTGGTCACTGGCTTCAAAGCATACTGGTAAGCCTTGCAAGTATAGCGATACTAGTAATTAATACTCAAAGTGGTAAATATTTGCACCATCAAGCGTCCACAGTCAGGACTGGAACAAAATTGCCAGTCGACACTCTCTCCTGTTCTACTTCACATCTGAAATGCTACACCAGGAAAAACCGGGATGCAACCCAAAGGCTCTGCCCACCTGGGCTTTGGGCAGGTGAGGACTTCAGGGCACCATCCCCACTGTGCCCAGCCTTGAAGTAACATACAGCTCCAGCTGCTTTCATTCCTATGGGACTTTTTCCCCCTTTTATCAGCATAAAAATGTTTTGTGTAAACCCAAACCGTGAGTCTGGAGCCTGTTGGGTTTGGCCTGCGCGCTCTCACGGCGGGCACCACACGACACCACGGCCACCACCGTGAGGCTCCGTGGCCTACGGCCCATGGCGCTGGGGGCCCGGCCGCCTGCACATCACACTGTCAGATTCCCACAGGGCCTCGGTGAGGGGGGGTCCCAGAAGAGGATGGAAATACGTCGGCAGACACCTCTGGAGGGTTCGGGGGGCGGGAAGGGGCCGCGGCGCCGCCTGCGCCCGCAGCTCCCAGGGTGCCCCGCGGCCGCCGCCTG